GCATAGAGCACGAATTCGGAGCAGGAAACCTACAGAACCTGTCTTCAACTTTGCTAATCGGAAAACTCTATGCAACTCGATATGACGACGAGTCAACGGTTATCAACAGAGAGACAAGGGAAACAAGTTCTGAAAACCTCAACATTCAGGATTTGGTTAAGGGCGAAGTTCAGTTTGACACAACGCTCTGGGAAAAACACCAACTGACATTGGGTGGTGAGGTCATCCTTGAGAATCTGCAATCGCAACGGATCACAGGTGGAGAACGTGGACTTTTTACGAACTCCCTCTTTGTCCAAAACGAATTCCGTCCTATCTCTGCGTTCGCACTCGTTATCGGCGGACGTTTGGACAATCATTCCGAATTTGGTGCCCATTTCAGTCCAAAACTGAGTGCGATGTATCGGGTGATAGACAATTTGCGGGTCCGTGCCTCATACGGACAAGGATTCCGAGCACCAGATTTCAAAAACCTCTATCTCGACTTCACAAACGTGACATCTGGCTACCAAGTACTGGGCAACCCAAGCGTGCAGCCTGAATCCTCACACAACTGGAATCTGGGGCTGGAATATCAGGTATTCAATGGTTTACTTACCAGAATCCATGTGTATCGCAATGACTTGCATAATCTGATCGAAGCGGAGCGTATCGGAAAGAGTGCCGCCGGAGGAAGCAAGTTTGAATATCAAAACATCAGTAGAGCATTCACAGAAGGGACTGACGTTGAAGCCGTTATCGGTCCAATAGGCGGATTTACCTCGACTGTCGGGTACGCTTACCTCCGCGGTGCGGATAAGGAGACCGGATTACCATTATTGAATCGTTCCACACATAGCAGTACCCTCAAATTGGCATACCTGCATCCGAATAGCGGTGCTCAGTTTGACCTACGAGGACGATATGCCAGTCAATGGGGCTTCTTTGACGATGGGGACAAAGTGCTTGAACCTGAAGAGTTCGCACCGAGTTATTGGGTCTGGAACATTCGCGTCTCAAAGACACTCTTTAAAATATTCAAAGCCTCAGTCGGATGCAACAACATCTTTGACTTCAAAATTCCTACATTTTATACCTTTACGGGCCGTTCATTTTATGGCGGCCTCTCTTTAACATATTAATACTGGAAAGGATACGAAAGACATGACACGGCTCATGGTCTACATAACTTCAATTATGGTTTTCACCGTCAGCACTGCTGTGTTTACAGCATCTGCTGAACTTCATCAAAACATACTCACGGTTGATGCGACCGACCGTGAGAACTGGGCATATATCAACCTCACCGAAGGTGAAGCGGTTGATATTACTAATGCTGCATCCTCATTGGCGTGGGACCTCGGTTTTAAGCGGACCGAGGTCGTCGTCAATGGGGGTGTTAGCGGTTCCGGGAAAACCGAGGCATTGGCTTTGAAGGACATCTCTTTTGAAGATGTCCTTGAAGCCCCGGAAGGCGACTACGTTTCCGACACCGACCAAATTATGACCTTCGCGCGAGGCGATGGTTGGTATACCTACACGGGACCGCCAAATCACTGGATCCTGCCGAATCCGAAAGTCTATGTTTTGCGGATTGCCACTGATGCCGAGAGGCGGTCTACAAATCCATATAACTACGCGAAAATCCGTTTCATTGGCTATTACGAGAACAACGAAACCAAAGAGGGCTCGGGATACATCACTATAGAATACGTTCTGCAAGATGATGGTACCCGCATCTTTGTTGAATCTGAACCCACGAGTGTTGATCCAAAAAGAAAAGTAACAACAACGTGGGCAGCGATTAAGTCATAGTATAGGCACGCACCGCCGTGCTGTAAGGAGATTAGTAATGGATTATAAAGCCGAATTTTTATCACAAGCCGAAGTATGCGCCATCTACCAGTGTCTTGATGGTCATATTCACCTGAAATATCGCACTTTGGACATTACTATGGATACCTGCGATTTCCACCAAGTCGCCGAAGTTTTTATCGAAGCATTGCGTATTTTACGGAAGATCGAAGATCCTGCGACTGAGGAGATCGATTTAGAAAATATGAATACGCACGTGAAAGTTTAGTCAAAAGTGTAGGGAAATCCCTGGAGGCTCTAACCTCAGGACACAAACAGAGACAAATTGGGCTTCAGCAGCCCAATTTCCCTACACTGTTTTAACCCTGTAGCAAGACAGGCACAGTACCCGTGCCGTCCATCAATAGGAGAATTACCATGGAAAAAGTCAGAGATTTTGTCAATCAATACACCACTATTCCTCTTATGCTAATGTTAGGTGTTGTCATCCTTTTCAGTTTCAGTTGCGGTCCCGTCGACGAAGACGATATCAATCAACTGCTTCAACCAGAAGAAACCACCGACGCAACGTCATCCGCGACCACCGAAACCGATGCCCAAGTTCCCGCTGACGAGCCTATCGGATTAGAGACCTTAGCGTTCACAATCGACGCGACGAACAGAGAGGCGTGGGTATACTTCTCTTTTGCATCTGGCAACACCGTTGACGTTGAAGACGCTGCAAATTCGGAAGCGTGGGACATCGGGTTCCAGCTAACGAAAGTCAAACTTAACGGGGGTATCAGTGGACCGGGCATGGGTAGTGTTGTTATGCTTACTGAAACAGCATTTGAGGCAGTAACGGAAGCTCCCGCGGACGGGTATCTTTCTGATACAGAGGACACACTTGCAATCGTTCCGCAAAGTGAAAAAGGCTGGTATATTTATACTGGACCGCCAGCACACTGGATTCTCCCCCTGGAAGACCGAGTGTTTATGATCAAAGCCGCTGACGGAACGTTCGCTAAGGTTCGCTTCATCGGATACTACAAAGATAACGAAAACAAGAAGGATAGTGGTTTTGTGACGTTCGAGTACGTTCATCAACCCGACGGAAGTCGTAATTTCTAAAGCCAGCACAATAAGAACTTTATACTGAACAACTGAACAACAAGTTCATCTTCAGAAGGAGGACACAATGCAAATTTTTCGATCGAACTTATGTAGGGCGTGGATATTAAGCGTTTCGATTTTCGTTCTGTTCGGCATCCTACTCTGCCTCGCTGCCGCAGATTCAATCAAGGTGGCAGATGCTAAAGGCAAAACCGTAGTCATTACGTCATCAGAACGTATCGTGAGTCTCAATGGCAGTACCACTGAAATTTTATTCGCTCTCGATGTCGGCGATAACGTGGTCGGTTGTGATGCGTCATCAACATATCCGAAAGGTGTGAGGGAGCGGCTTCCGAGCGTCGGCTATCAATATGGGCTCAACGCGGAGGGGATTCTCTCCTTGAATCCGACACTGGTGATTGGACGAGAGGATGTGAGACCTCCGCAAGTCGTGCAGCAACTCCGCATGGCAGGTGTAACTGTTTTATCGCTTAAGGAACCTCGCAACTTTGAAGCAGCTAAGCAACGCCTACGCACTATTGGTAAAGCAGTCGGGCGTGAGAAAAAAGCTGAGGCATTAATAAACGCCTTAGACACTGACATCAAAGAACTGGAAACCAAACTTGCCTCTCGAAAAGAGCAATCGAAACAGAAAGCACTGTTCCTCTATTTACGCGGCACACAAACCACTTTGGTGTTAGGGACTGACACCGCTCCGGGAGCAATGTTTGATATTGTTGGAGCTGAAAATGCCGCAGGAAGTATCAAAGGAAACAAACCGATGACGGCAGAAGCAGTGATCGCTGCCCAACCAGACGTGTATGTGCTATTCACCACAAGTCTGAAATCCGTTGGTGGCGTTGATGGACTGCTCAAATTGCCGGGCTTGGCACACACGCCTGCGGGGCAAAACAGGCGTGTTGTGACACTGGATGGACAATACCTATCTGGATTCGGTCCCCGTTGTGGGCGCGCTGCACTTGACCTGTTCCGAGGCATCTACGAAACTGATGGACACTTCGTTGCAACAGGAGAATAGCCATTTTCGCGCAGATCTTTAAATGCCCTCTGCCAATACGAAAAATGCATAAACGGACAAAGATTCTGCTGATTCTCATCGGTTTACTTCCAGTATCAATGTGCGTCGCGGCAGGGGATAGGTGCATATCAAATTCTACCGTGGCGCATCCCTGAGATTCTGTTTTCCCGAAAAGATGGCTTCGCTGTCTTGGTCTACGTGCGTTTCCCACGTGTGATTCTATCTGCCGTTGTCGGCGCAATGTTAGCCATTTCGGGGGCAACACTACAAGGTATTTTCCGTAATCCACTGGCTGATCCGGGATTAATCGGTGTCACAGCAGGTGCGGGGTTAGGGGCAACACTCTGGATTGTCCTGATCGGCGGAGGCGCGTTAGGTGTGTGGGGACTTCCTATCGCGGCATTTGGATGCGGAGTCCTTGTGACTATCGGCGTATGGAAAATCGCAGAGGAACAAGGAAGAGTTCGCACGCTGACACTATTGTTGGCAGGCATCGCGCTTAACAGTTTCGCTGGCGCGGGTATCGGTTTAATGACCTTTCCTTGCTGACGATGAGCAGATGCGCAGTCTGACTTTTGGCTGCTCGGTGGCTTCGGTGGCGCGACGTGGCCCGTTGTTTCCATAACGCTACCAATTGCAATCATAGGATTGCTTGTGTTGTTAAGGCAGGCAGCCGCATTGAATGCGATGAGTCTGGGAGAATCCGAAGCGTATCACCTCGGCGTTTCAACGGAAACTTTGAAAAGATGGTCGGTTTTTGGTGTCGCGCTAACGGTAGGCGCGGCGGTCTCCGCCGCAGGAGGCATCGGTTTCGTCGGACTTGTCGTTCCACATCTTTTGAGACTTTTGGGTGGAGCAGACCATCGGTATATCCTACCCGGTTCAGCTGTCGGCGGTGCGATACTACTCGTCTCGGCGGACTTATTCTCACGAACCGTTGTAGCTCCCGCTGAACTACCTGTTGGCATTGTCACTGCGCTGATCGGCGGTCCATTCTTTCTGTGGCTACTGCTCAGATTCAAACGTGAGGTTCTTCCATAGGAAAGCCTATCTACACGGGTTTTTGGAGGTAAAGATGATCGAATTGGAAGGGATTGGTTACCGTATCGGCGGGAATTGGTTAGTCCGTAACATCAATATCACAATTGAAAAGGGGACGCTCTGGGGTTTCGTCGGTCCTAACGGTGCAGGTAAGTCTACACTTCTACGGCTGATTTCGGGGGAACTATTGCCGACGACTGGGGAAATTCGGATCCTCGGTAAACCGATTCATAGTTACGCCCCTCAAACATTGGCACGCCTCCGAGCTTACCTCCAACAAAAACGGGACATAAACTTCCCATTCACCAGTTTGGAGATTGTACTATTTGGGCGACATCCACATCTCAATGGCACAAAAGAAACCACTGCTGACCTCTTAATTGCTAAGGAGGCATTGCGTCAGGTTGAAGCCCACATGTTTGCGAAACGGCTCTATCCAACGCTATCTGGTGGTGAGGCGAGCCGTGTTGACATCGCGCGGATCCTCACGCAGGCACCAGACCTATTTTTGTTAGACGAACCAACAAACCATCTGGACCCGAGACACCAAGTGCAGATACTTAACTTGTGCAAAACGATTTGTGGGCACGGTAAAACTGCTATCACGGCAATTCACGACTTAAATCTCGCGTCAATGTATACCCACCGACTGCTGCTACTGAAAGATGGGATTTCTGTCGCGTGCGGCACGCCTGAAGCTGTACTAACCTTGGATCTGTTATCAGAGACCTACGGTATTCCGTTTGAAGTTCTGCCGCATCCAGATGGATATCCATGGGTGATGCCGAGTCTGAATACTTCGTAGAATCTTCACACATATTTTCAAAAAAAAAGGATTGAAACCCGTTTTGATATGTGCTACACTAATAAAGCAACAATAGAAAATTGAAATTCTAACACTTTATTATAGGAGACATCATCATGAATCAAGAAACAAACGACGCAATCATTGAAGAACTCACTCGCGCCTATTGGTTAGAGTTAGAGGCAACCATCAACTATCTCGCCATTTCTGTCGACTTAGATGGTATTCGCGCAGAAGAGATTAAGAAGTCTCTTGCAACAGATATTCAGACAGAAATTACACATGCCCAGGAACTTGCCGCCCGCATCAAGGAGATCGACGGGCGAGTCCCCGGCTCGTTTGCCTTTAAACCCGAACAAGCCTCGCTGCAACCGCCAGAAGATTCAACAGATGTTGTGGCATCTATCCATGGGGTTATTGAAGCCGAAAATTCCGCAATCAAGCAATATAATAAGATTATCCGTTTGTGCGATGGGATAGATTATGTCACGCAAGACCTCTGCATCAAACTCCTCGCCGATGAGGAGAAGCATCGTCGGGAGTTCAGAGGGTTTCTCAAAGAATACGAGAAAGACTAATCTCATCAGAACAAACCCAAAAAAGAACAACGGGCAATAATGCCCGTTGTTTGCTTTTAAGCACCTAACTTGCTTAACATGAATTCCTCTTGATTTTCTTACAGTTTGGTTCTAATGTTAACTACTTTACCCAATAGAAATTACCGTTAGAAGCAGGCCAGTCAAGAACATACAAAATTTGGGATTTTGTTTTATATTTTTCGACTTCATCACGGACCCGTGCCCAACGCTTTTGTATCTCAGCAGATTCAAGATCCTGAGAGGTCTCTGGGTTTCCATATTCCGGAACAACTTCCTGCCAGCATGTCATTGCAAGGTTTTGCAGATTTTCGATCTTTTTTTCGCGAGATGTGTGTGTATCTCTAACCACTTCGTCTATTTGGTGAATGATTTGTGGTACCGGCATTTTAGCCCTCCGTAGTGTTAACGTCTTGCCGTAACGAACGTTCGTTGATGAATGACTCTTCGCTGAACTGAGAAACCTGCTTTATTTAGGGCATCAATTATTGGAAACTCGCTGAAGTGTCCTGTTGTAATAACAATTCGTCTCACCTGAAGACTCTGTACCTGCCTAACAAAAGCACTTGGTTCAACAAACGCCCCTGTCGGCACTTCGATGAAAGGAACATTCGATGCTCGTAGGAACCGAACATGCCCCTGGAAAATAGTTTCTAACCCTACTTGATTGACATTGGCAACAATTGTATTCGGACCGGGGTTCAAATCAACGTGCCTAAAATCTGGGCGTTGGCTGCGAGATGTAATGAAATTGTCAAGAGGTCCGCCGATATTCACAACTTTTACTTGCCCTTGTTGGGATCCTGCATCCGTCTCTACAACCATCGCTTACCTACTCCGTTCTTAGCCTCGGATCTAAAGCATCACGGACGGCATCACCGAAGAGGTTCGCAGGTAGTACCAATCCGAACATAAGCGCAAACGCAGCGGCGAGATTCCACCAAACAATTGGGTCACGAGCGAGTTCCAAGCGTGCCGTGTTAATCATATTTCCCCAACTTCCCGTTGTCGGTTCAACGCCGATTTGGAGATAACTCAGCAACGCTTCTGCCAACACCAACCCACTAAATCGTAAGATAGTGGAGATCAACACGATATGCATGAGGTTCGGAACGAGATGCTTGAGAATAATGAGCCCACGATGTACACCAAAGGCTTCGGACGCTTGGATGTACTCCAATTCCCGGAGTTTCAAGGTTTCACCGCGTAGGATACGACACAACCCCGTCCAACTTCTGATACCCATGATGAGACAGAGATTGAACAATCCTTGCCCGAAGAGGAGCATGAACGCAACAATGAGAAGGATAGAAGGAATAGAATCGAGCGTGGCGTAGATGTACTGAACGGCATCGTCTATCCAACCACCAAAGTAACCCGCGATGACCCCGAAAAATATGGCGAATGGAACGGCAATCAAGGTAGTAAATCCACCGATAATGAGTCCAGTGCGGATGCCTTTTAAGGCACGGTAAAGAACATCACTACCCACCTTGTCAGTGCCAAGGAGATGACTCCGCGGATACTGAAGCGGCGAATAGTCGCGAGCCGTGCGTCCATCAGGCATTTGGAGGGTGCTTTTCGCATACAGATGTGTTGCCAAAGGCGCAGAATAGGTCTTCTCGGTTCTTTCCCGAAGCGGTGTGCAAAGCCTATCAAGGAGGCTCAAACCCCTCGGTCTATAGACAATGGTACCACTTTCATTTCGAGTGAGTGTTTGGTCGGTCTGCCGTATGAGTGGGTCGCGCCAACCGATGCTATCCAACACACCGACAAGAAGGTACCCTAAGAGGACGAAAAGACAAACAATAGCAAGGCGGTTTCTGCGAATCTGTCTCGCCGCGTTTCGCCAATACTCTTGCCGCGAAGCGTATCGGAGGAGCCACCCCGCACCGACAAGACATACAATGACGATGAGATTCTGATAAGCATCGGAACGCCAAACCCAACTCAGCCGATCGTCGATTCCAATGTCTGGAGCGTTTGTCCGATGAGAAAAATAGGCATGTTAATGGTTATCAGTTGTCAGTCATCAGTTGTTAGTAATTATCGGTCGTCACGTTTTAGTTCCCAGTGCCCAGTTAAAGAGGGATTTGATATTATCGGATACCTCTTGTAACCGAAAACTGATAACCGATAACCGACAACTATTCTGTTTGATAAACGGCTTGGTGTGTGTGAAACCCATCTTTAATAACCTCTGCGTCTAAATTTTCCTTGTCAACCTGAATAGGTGTCAGCAGGATCGATGGCACCTCAATTTTGCCGTTGTTAACGGTCTGTGTAGCCTCGGCGATCGCTTCACCTTTTGCGAGTGCGACAGCGGCTTGTGCCGCCTTCGTTGCGATAAGGTGAATCGGTTTGTAAACCGTCATGGTCTGCGTGCCTTTGACAATCCGTTGGCACGCGGCGAGTTCCGCATCTTGTCCTGAAATGAGAACGCTTCCTGCCAAATTCTGTCCTTCAAGTGCCTGTATAACGCCACCAGCTGTGCCATCATTTGACGCAACGACAGCGTCTATTTGGTTGTTCGTCTGCGTCAAGACCTGTTCCGCCTTTTTGAGTGCGTCGCGCGGATCCCAATTAACCGCCCAATGCTCGCCTCCTGCCACCAAACGAATGGCACCACTGTCAATTGCGGGTTGCAAGGCACGGAGTTGTCCCTGTCGGAGAAGCTGTGCGTTATTGTCAGTTGGGCACCACCGAGCAGGAAGTAAGCCCCCTCTGGCTTCTGACGCAATAGATATTCGGCTTGGAGATATCCAACCTGTTCGTTGTCAAAAGAGATATAGAGATCGGGTGAACTCTCACGGATGAGCCGATCATAGGCGATGACTTTGATTCCCTCTGCGTGTGCGGCTTGGACAATTTGGGAGGCAGCGACGCTATCCTTCGGAATAACAACGAGAACATCCACACCTTGGGTAATCATGTTCTCGGCTTGCTCGTTCTGTCGACGTTCATCTCCATCAGCAGACTGGACGATAACTTCGGCACCGAGTCTCTCTGCTTCAGCCGTGAAAATATCTCGGTCTTTCTGCCACCGTTCCACACGCAACGAATCCATGGACAAGCCGATCTTGATTTTCTTGGTGGCAGTAGCATCCGCCTCTTCGCTTTTCTTTTGTGCGCCGGGATCAGCACATCCAAATAGGATTACGAGACACGCCGTTAAAACGCAGAAAAGCGATGTAGTCTTGACACAGGAATCCCCATTGTAGGGGACAGGTTGCCTGTCCCGTCTTCGTAACGGGCGAGGGGATCTCGCCCCTACGGGAAGCCAGAAGTTACCGTTATAAGTTGAAAGGCGCATCGTATCGCTCCTTTTGAGATTTATTGTTCTTCTTCAGCCGAACTTGATTCAGAATCGGATTCTGCAGGTGCGTCAGGATCGGGTGTAATCTCGCGAACAGCATCGCCGATTTTGAGGGGTTCCGTCGTTTCAATAACCCGGAAGATAGAAACCTTATCATTCAGGATTTCAGAAACCGCCATGAGTCCGATCTGCTTTGGTACATAGGTTAGAATTTCACCGGTATCTAAATCTCGTACCGGATTGCCTTTGGTATAGACAGCGAACTCTTGGTTGATAGCTATCCGCTTGCTGGAACCGATATTGACATAAATCTTATCCGGATGCTCATTGTCCACGTACTGAATTTTGCCTTTGACAGGTTCCCCAGATGCCATTGTCGGAGTTTCCTGTCCTTCTTTGGGGGTTGTGGTCTTCGGTTCCCAAGGTGTAATAAAATTAGGTCCGACGCTATCTCGAAGTGCTAAAACCACTTTGATTAACGCCTCATTGGTTACCACTCCGAAAAGGGTTCTGTCGTATTCGGTACTCGCAAACTGGATTTCATTAAGTTCGGTTGGTTTGACAATCGGACGCGGATTTTTCCGCTGACTGTCCCTTGTTTGACCAAAAGAGAGATTTGTTCCTTCTTCGGTCACACTGGCTTCAAGGGAAGCGAATTTTGTACCGGCGTACGAATGGTCTCGGCTGGCGGAAATTCGAGGTTCAGCTACAGGACTGCCGGATGCATTGTAGAATTTCATGTTCAGTCTAACGGTGGCACGGTGTAGAGACCCTCGCAGAATAACGGGAGCAAGGTAACTTGCGCTTGTAGAGCCTCGCTGCGCTTCACGTCCACCTTCCCGCAGTGTACGCGAAGCGTTAGTTCTCAACCGCTCTTGATTAAATTCTCGGATATCGCCCACTACAATTACGTCTGCATTGAGATGCTTCGCAAGCGTTGCGCGTTGCGCCTGATCCAGTTTCTTTAGGTTCTGCCGTGAGAGCGTCATAAGTGCCATAGCATCGAGGAGTTCATCTTTACTGACGGGTTCATACACATTCGTTTCGACGAGTTTCCGATTGAGCATTTTGGCAAATCCCGCCTCCAAATCCCATCGTTTCTTTGTGCTGATTATGTTTCCGATGAAGGTAGGGACACAACCACATCCGGTAGGAGAATCAAAGCGACTGTGATCCTCAAAATAGAGAACAGCAATGCGTTTCTTTGGAGCCGCATCGCTGACAGCAATAGTGCCAATCATGAAGCACAGACTGAATCCTATCACGAACAGACTTTTTAATTTACCTTGCGGGTAAAGCACGGACATTTTGAATTTAACAGACCTTAATATCGAGTCGCCTTCCATTACATTACAGGCTTGGTTTTTGCTGTTATTAAGAGATAAAAAGAAGCGTTTCACCCTTTTTTACCCTCCTTTTTCCTTCATTTACCTTTCACGCCTATAGTTTAGCAGTCCTGCGAAGATTTATCAAGGAAATTTAAGTTTTTTGGAAGATCGTTCTTTAACAAGAAATCACTTGAAAGATCAGAGAATATCTGGTATCATTACTATCAATTATCGGACACTGTTTGCAAGCCGAAACTTGCTGCTACACAAAACACAAACGAAAAAGGAAACGTTATGTTTACAAAAAACAGATTCGCGTATCACAATTTATTACATATATTTATATCCACCGCGTTGGTTGTGTTAATTGTATTCTATGGGTGTAGCGATAAACAATCGGGTGAAAAAGCGAAAACAGGTGATGCCGCCCCCCAGAAAAAGGAGTGGCTCTCGATTTTGGGTGGCGTGATGGGGGGTAGTTTTTCACAATTCGCGGGGGGCGTTAGCCGTATTTTGACCCACAAGGAACCACATCTGAAAATATCCATCGATGCTTCCGCAGGTTCGGTCGAAAATACGCGGCGTGTGAACGAAGATTCGGAAGCACTCGGTGTCGTGTTTGCTGCTGAAAGCTACCTTGGCTACCACGGTCAAGAAATTTTCGCAGAAGAGGGACCGAAAACCAACATTCGTATGGTAACGTTGCTTTTCATCGCTTACGACCAATTTTCGACGCTGGCGAACAGCGATATTCACCAGTTTGAAGATATTGTTGGAAAAAAAATCGCCTCTGGGGCGAGTGGGTCCGGCACCGCACAGACGTTAGAACGACTGTCAAAATTGGCGGGTATCTGGGGAAAATTTACGCCGATCTATAAAGGTGGGAGTGCGGCTGCCGAGGCTCTCCAAGATGGACAGGTCGCTGGGTTCCAATGGCTCGTCAGTGTGCCGAACAGCGCTGTTATCCAGTTGACAGCGATTAAATCTATTCGGATGATCGATCTTGACGCAACTGCGAAGAAGTATGGCTTCTACGAAAAGTATCCGTTCTATCTTTCCGGATCTCTGCCAGAGGGGGCGTATGAAGGCAAAGTGGAACCGGTGAATACTATTCTGATGCCAACGGTACTCATCTCGAACAAAGCGGTGAGCGAGGAGACTATCTACAAACTTCTAAAGCATGTTTACGCCTCAGAGGGACATCAGGCGATGCTTCAAACAAATCAAGCAGCAGCAGACATGACGATAGAGAATGGACCGAAAGCCTTTGTAATTCCACTCCACCGCGGGGGCATACAAATTTTGGAGCGAACAAGGTGTGGAAATTCCAGCGCATGCGATGCCGGTGGACTAACCTAAAAACGAGACAACTATGGATCGGCAAAAAATTGCAATGTTACTAAAATTTGCTTTAAAAATGGAGAATATGGTAGAATAATAAAATAACATTGCGGGGTGCTCTTATCTGCTTGAGAGCTGAGAAAACACCCATTGAACCTGATCTGGATCATACCAGCGTAGGGAAATATGAAGAAGGGCAATGAATGCTGTTCCTTCTTAAGCGACTTTCGCAATTGGGACATAGAAGTTGTGCTCTCAATTGTAAGCCTGCAGGCGAGATGCTTAACGCCGCCACTATGAGGCACGGAGCCGCTTCTTTTTTGGTGTTGCCACGGCTGTGAATAGAGCCACTGGCAGACGGGCATGTTTCCGATATCCGCTTTTCTCAAGCAAGTTTTTGGCTTGCAAGCGGTGCCAAAAAAGAAGACGGCTTTTTGTTGTTAAGGAACAGATACCAATGCTCAGCAAATTTGCGGTGCCTGTGGCTATCCTATTGATAGTATTGGGAATATGGGAAAGTGCCGTTCATCTTTTTGAGATACCGCGCTATATTCTGCCAGCCCCTTCAAAAATTGTGGTGACGCTATTTGCAAAACACGCGCAATTACTGAAACACACACTTGTGACACTCGAAGAGATGCTCCTTGGATTTCTCCTCGCGGTTAGCATTGGTGTTCCGTTAGCCGTGTTGATGTTCGAGTTTCCAGCACTGGAGAAAGCCTTCTATCCGTATGTTATCGGTTCACAAACGGTTCCAGTGTTTGCTATCGCTCCACTACTGGTGCTATGGTTCGGCTTCGGTATCGCCTCGAAAGTGATCATGGCAGCACTGATTGTATTCTTCGCAATTGTGCTGAATACACTCGATGGCTTGAAATCCACTGATCCAGATACAGTAAACCTGTTCCGAATTTTGCGAGCGACCCGATGGCAGATACTTTGGAAAGTACGCATCCCGTCGGCACTGCCGTTTATCTTTTCAGGTGCAAAAATAGGCATTTCGATCTCTACGATTGGCGCGGTTATCGGTGAATGGGTGGGCGCAAAGGCAGGACTCGGATACCTTATGCTGTATGCGAATGGACAACTCCAAATTTCACTCGTATTTGCAGCTATTTTTTGCTTAACGATTTTAGGTTTAAGTCTCTTCGGACTGATGACACTGTTGGAGCGGTACGCAATGCCGTGGCGGCAGCATCAATACGAACAGGTCAAATGTCCGGTAAGCGTGTCACTCGCATATCGGAGAGGAAAAAAGGAAAATTCTCATGAAAACAGCAATTTGCTTAATGTTTCTCATTAGTTGCGGTATACTTTTGACAGGACACATCGACAGCAACGCCGATAGCCATCAGAAAACCGAAATGGAGAAGGTCACGCTACTCCTCGATTGGTTCCGAACATAGATCATGCGCCACTTTACGTCGCGCAACAGAAGAAAATTTTTGGCAAGCACGGTTTAGAGGTTGAATTGCTCTGGGGTGGTGATCCGAATGCGCCTTTGAAACTCGTGGCAGCCGGAAAAGTACCGTTCGCCGTGAGTTACCAACAGAGTGTCACGATCGCTCGGGCAAGTGAAGAGGTTTTGCCGGTTAAATCAATCGGTTTACTCGTAGAACACCCGCTGAACACGATTAGTTTCCTGAAGAAAACGGGCATTAAAACGCCAGCAGATTTCAAAGGAAAGAAAATCGGATACACGGTTGCACCGTTGGATGTGCTGCTTTTCAATGCGATTGCGGCGAACGCTGGATTAACAGAAGACGACTACGAGTTGATAAACGTGAGCACGAGTATTTCGGCAGCGCTCCTGAGTGGGCAAATCGATGCAGTGATCGGCCCGTTCCGAAATTACGAGATCAACGAACTGAAACTTGAAGGCGCAGAAGCAGAGTATTTCGCGCTTGAGAAGCACGGCATTCCCGACTATTATGAACTGGTAATCGTCTCTAACGATACTTTTTTGAAAGAACATCCAGAAACTGCTAAAAAACTGATGATGGCGATTCGGGAGGCGATTCAATTCACGAAAGAGAATCCTGATGACGCGCTGCAGCTCTTTTTTAAGGCAAATCCAGATGCCCGCAAAGACTTAGAAGAACTGGCGTTTCGGGATACGTTGGATGTGTTCGCGACAACACAGGTGCAATCCACAGAAAAATGGGCTGCCTTCGCAAAATTCGCCTATGAAAAAGGCTTGATTTCCAAAACAGTCGAAGCAAAAGACTGTTTCATCAATGTATTGGAAGAATAACGGTTTTACCCCACTAGCGTTAATGAAGAACAAAAAGATTCTCATCATCGGTGGCGGTGTGATTGGACTCGGTATCGGGTGGCAGTTGGCGAAATCGGGTGCCGCCGTTACTATCTATGAGCGCGCACAAGCCGGACGCGCCGCCTCTTGGGCAGCCGCTGGGATGCTTGCTCCACTCGCCGAAGCACATATCGAAGAACCGGAACTGCTTAAGTTAGGCAGCCAAAGTTTAGCACTCTATCCGCAATGGGTTCGGGAATTAGAGGCGGCTGCAGAGATGTCGATCGGATATCGAGTGGAAGGCACTCTGATCATCGGGTTAGAGCCTGATGATACACACCAACTTAGACATCTTTACGCCTCACAACAAGATTTAGGGCTGGATGTTACATGGCTGACGGGACGAGCGGCGCGTGAAATCGAACCTGCGCTTTCACCGCGCGTGACCGCAGCCATCCGCTGCGAGAGCGATCATCAAGTCGATAACCGATTGATGGTAAAAGCACTCCAACGCGCCTATCAGAGATGCGGTGGCGTGTTGCACGAAAACAGTGCGGTCGAAAGCATCCATATCGAAAATGGGATCGCGGCTGGCGTCAAGACACGAGACGGCGAAAAACAAAATGGAGATGTCATCGTGTTGTCAGCAGGATGTGAATCTGCCCAAATTCAGGGACTTCCAGATGCCATCCGTCCGCCGGTGCGTCCTGTGAAAGGACAGATGTTGGCATTGCAGATGGAGGCTGGCATTACGGTCAAAAACGTCATCCGCACCGTCAGAGCAAGGTATCCGATGTCGGTATATCTGGTGCCGAGAACCGATGGCAGGCTCATCGTCGGTGCGACAACCGAGGAGATGGGGTTTGACACACGTTTGACCGCTGGCGGTGTGTTTGAGCTGCTCCGCGGCGCATGGGAAGCGGTGCCGGGTGTTTATGAACTTCCCCTTCTGGAAACATGGACAGGTTTACGTCCCGGTAGCCGAGACAATGCCCCCATACTTGGCGAAACGCCCATTGAGAATCTGATATACGCCACAGGACATTATCGCAACGGCATCTTACTCACACCCATCACGGCTTACGAGGTCTCCAAGCTGATTCTGACCGGTGAGACTTCAGAGACAATCGCCCCGTTCCGGGTAGACAGATTTTTGGCATAACGGGAGTCAAGAATGAAGATACGCGTCAATGGCGAAGAAAAAACGGTTAGCCCGAATTTAAATGTCCACGATCTGCTCATCGCTTTAGAAATGGATCCAACGCAGGCGGGCATCGCTGTCGCCGTGGATCGGGAAGTTATCCCGAAAACCGAGTGGCACGCGACGGAACTTCGCGAGAACAGTGAAGTTGAGATCATACGCGCCGTCCAAGGCGGGTAATGCCTTCATATAACATGCCCTCACGGAAATGAGTACCCAAGTTTAACACTTGATAAATAGGCTTTGAAGGTGCTATACTAAATTGGAAGCGCAGGGACGTGTAACACTCTATGAAAAAATAGGTTTGGCACTGGAAAAAATAAAAAATGCAAGAATTCAAAATTGCCGACCAGACATATACATCAAGACTCCTTATCGGAACGGCAGGGTACCCGAATTTCCACATAATGACGGAGTCCATCGCCGCGAGTGGTGCTGAAATTGCGACGGTGTCAATGCGGCGCGTGAAATTTACAAATACACCCGGTGAGAATTTGTTCGCGCTTCTACGCGAACGGGGTATGACGATCCTCCCAAACACTGCGGGTTGCTTCACTGCAAAGGATGCTATTTTAACAGCGAACCTCGCCAGAGAGGCACTTGAGACATCGCTCATCAAACTTGAAGTTATCGGAGACGAGGAGACCCAGTTTCCAGACGTAGAGCAGTTACTCAGGGCAGCGGAGACACTCGTGAAGGACGGCTTCACTGTGCTTCCGTACTGTAACGACGATCCGATTACCTGTAAAAAATTAGAAGATATTGGCTGTGCAGTAGTGATGCCATTAGGTGCTCCGATCGGCTCAGGGATGGGGATCCGAAATCCGTATAATATTCAGATTATCCGAGATCTTGTGCAAGTGCCGCTTATTGTGGATGCCGGCGTTGGGACAGCATCGGATGCAGCCATTGCGATGGAGTTAGGGTGTGATGGTGTTCTGCTCAATACAGCGGTAGCGAAAGCACACCGGCCCGTGCTGATGGCGGAGGCGATGAAAAAAGCAGTCGAAGCCGGTAGAGCGGCGTTTTTAGCTGGACGCATCCCAAGGAAACTTTACGCGACCGCCTCAAGCCCACAGGACGGAATAATTGAATAAGACAGATGCCTACATATTACATCTCTAAGAAATAAAAATGAACCCCGTAGTCTTAGCATGTCTGTTAGCCCGTCATAGAATTGGAGCCCGTGTGTGAAAAAAATACCCCACTTTTTCTGGATATGCCTGATTATTTCTACGCAATTAGTAGGCAGCGTACTCTTATTCGATACGCAAAGTGCTTTTGCACAACTCCAGAGCGAATTCGGACAGAGCCTTTTAGAAAGAAAACCCGAACCCTCTGAAAGCGATCCCGCAGAACTCACAATTAGCTCGTACTTTTCCAACACATTCAATAACCACATTGAACTCGGTCTGAGTGTAGATCCTTACACCAGCAGCCTCGCCGGTCAGGAAGATTCACAACTTGAAGGCATGATTAACCGCTTCGGTGTTAACCTGCTCGGGGATTTACCGGTAACTGATAAACTCCGGCTCAAATTGCAATACGCACCACAAGTTGAAAACTACACCGGTGCTGACGGAAAACTTAACGAATTCGATGCGTTTAGCGACGTAGTCTTAACCGAACTGAGTTTCCAACCCGTTGCGAATTTACCACCTCTCGTCACCTCCCATCAACTACAACGCTTCGTGCGAACTTCAAACGTCTATAACAACATCGACAGACAACTCGGTCTCCGCTTCGGGCGCGTCCTGGAATACAACCTACGGTTACACCGATTCGACGATGAAGATACGCGAAGAGAGGACTTCCTACTTGTCGGCTCTACCAATCATAAAATGACTGGACGCTTGCAATTTGGGATTCTTAAACAGATCCTCGGTAAACTGGAATATGGGATAGAGCATAGTAACTACCAAACCAATCTGAACAATCTTATCTTAGGTATAACAGGACTTGACGACGATGAACGTCGAAAGGATTGGCGACACATCAGTTCCGCAAAACTGATACAGGTAGCAATGGATAGACTCGTGTTCCAGGAAGAGATTAACCTATTTCTGAATCGTTCCAATGTCGATTTCTTTAACTTCGTCAGTACCGAGGTGGCAGCGAGTTCTTTTTACCGACTTGAGACAGGACGATGGATTCGGCTTCGATTCTCCAGATTGTGGGTACAGTTTGAAGGCAGACAAATTCCGGACGAGATCGGCAATATACCGGAAAACGCACCAAACCGTCGCGACACACAGATAGGTGCGAATGTGCAGTTGAACTGGGAATTTAATCCATATCTAACACTCAACGCTGATTATCAGGTTACCCAGAACCGCACGAATGAGATAGATCCATTGCTCGATTTTCTCAACTACACGCATACCATCGCGACCGTCACGCTCCGCGGTCAGTATTGATTTTTTAATTATGGGCACCAGTTAACGCGAACCTCAATGCAGTCCGTTGCTACCGCTTCCCCTTAAAAAGCTTCAACTTCCCCTGAGATGCCACCAACGTATAACACGCCTCAATTGCCTCGGCGACAATAGGCTCGTCTGGGGTGCCCCACAGCAATAGATAATCTACATTGTCAGCATAATCGCAGAGGTCAATCTTTTCGGGCTGCCAGTGCACGATCTGCACCCACTCCTTCTCTTCCAATGGGGTCTCAAAATCGGCGTTGAATCGGATTGGAAAGTAGTCGAACTGTATTTCATAGTTGCCGAGGTTGATGCCTCCATTGTCAAGGCAGTAGTAATTGGCAGCGTTGACAAAGATGCCTACACGCTTGGAGCTACCTCTCGGATCAAAGTGAAGTGGGAGGATAACACTATTCTTATCAACCCGCTGTACAAAAGTGGTAAACTCGCGTATCTCAGCGTTGAGATTTTTGAAGAGAATGCCAACATAGAGGATGTTAAGGAGCGCGAGAAGTATGACTATCGCTGTGAATACGCGTCTCCATGGAAGAGGTTCAAGAACACGGAACCATGCAAACATAGCGAGGACAGCCAAAATAGCGAGTCTGTCATTAACCCAGCCACCGGGACCTATAGAGTTTGGCAAGATAAAATAGAGCCCGAAAAGCACACACGCAAGGCAGAGAAATGCCCTCTGTCCAAGGTGCCTTTCTTCAGTATCTCTCCTATTTTGCCAGATTGTTACAGCAGCAAGAAAGAGCAAGAGGACAGAGACCGCACCGGAAATCCAATTCGGAGGATCGGTGTAGGCAACAAGCACGTGCATACCGATTAAGTTATTGAACAGTTCTCCAATCCGTCCAATTCCAAATTCGGGAGGTTCTCCTGCGAGGAGATCAGAGGTAGGAAGGTAGACAAGAATGAGTACAGCTGCAGGTAGCAGGTAACATCCTGTAATCAGGATCTGCTTGAAGTTCCGTCTAAAATGGAACAGTGCCAGCAAGGCGACAGAAAACAGAATGAAAGCGTAAGAGATAAGGTGCGCAAAATAGGTAGTAATGATAAGCAGATTGAGCAGAATAATCCGTGTCCTGTTCATCTCATCCTTGTGTTTCCACCAATAACCAAGTGCGAGGAAAAAGAGGGGCACGCTGACGGCGAAAATTGTAGAAGCCCATGAGAAAGAGATAATTGTAGATAAAGGTAAAACTGAGTATCACGAGAGGATACCGTCCGCGTTGGACAGCATTGAGAAAATAGTGGATTGCAAGAGGGAACAAGATGACATAGAGGCTCAGAAATATTTTCTCAGCGATAAGAGATGGGAAGACGAACATTAATACCGCTAACGAAAAGTGGGAAAGCCAGTTAGGAAAAGGGTACCAGTTAATCTCGTAATAGTCGCGAAACTGATATTCTGAGTTGTTATACTCAGTCAAAATTTGTGAGTTATAAACATGACTCACTCCATCTTGTGTTGGAAAATAGGGGAACAACCATATCGGCAGTAAATAGACGACAATTAGCGCGCCAATCAAAAGTGCCCACCTTTTATGTAGAAGTGTGTAGAAGCGAGAAAAGAATGTCATCATTTTTTCTTTCATCCCATTTTGGCCTAACTTACAGGTTTCCAAAACATATTTGGGCTTATGCAATGTTTCATTAGCTCTACGATACGTACGTTTCGGATCTTAAAAAAACCCAGTTTTAAATGGTGTCTTAATCAAAACTGCCCAAACGAGTGAGGGCAGCCAGTCCCATTAAAAAATTGAAATTTTTGGGACTTCAGGTATAATGCTACCATGTTTCCATACTTTATGCATAGCACTTTTGCATACAAAGTATATCGGTCGTATTGCACCTTAACAAAATCGGCTTTTTAGGAATCATCATTTTTCGAGGTGCGAACTACTGGAGAATAATTTCATGAATCGAGATGAAGTCAAACGTTTAGTTGAAGAGAACGGCATTGAGTTTTTTCTCTGCTCTTTCGTAGAGATGAGCGGTGCCCCGAAGGCAAAGGTTATTCCATCCACACACCTTGAAGATATGGCAGACGAAGGTGCGGGTTTCGGCGGCTTCGCTGCAGGTGAGATAGGGCAATATCCGCACGATCCGGAGATGGCAAGTATCCCCGACTTTAACTCGCTGACAATTGTGCCGTGGCGGAAAAACATAGCGTGGGTAGCAGGAGACATGTATGTTGAAGGCGAGGCGTGGCACTACTGTCCGAGAACCATTCTGCGGCGGCAATTGGAAAAAGCAAGGGAGAAAGGTTATATCTTCAACGTCGGCATAGAGGCGGAATTCATGCTGTTGAAACAGGATGAGACCGGTTCCTACGCGCCATGGGATAAACTCGACACTCTGGATAAGCCGTGCTACGATCTAAGGGCACTCCATCGCAACCTTGATACGATGACGACGCTGATTAAATACATGCAAGAATTGGAGTGGGAGCCCTACGCAAACGATCATGAAGATGGAACGTGTCAGTTCGAGGCAAACTGGACCTATTCGGACGCACTTACGACAACAGATAGGCACACTTTTTTCAAGTGGATGGTCAAAACGCTTGCGGAGGAACGTGGGCTGCTGGCAACGTTTATGCCGAAACCGTTTACCAATTTGACGGGCAATGGGGCACACTTCCACATGAGCCTCTGGGATGAGGAGAATCAAACGAATCTGTTCCTGAATGAGACTGATAAAAATGGCTTGTCTCAACTTGCTTACTGGTTTACGGGCGGTATTCTCAAACATGCGAAAGCAGTAACGGCGGTTACGAATCCGCTTGTGAACAGCTACAAACGTTTAGTTCGCAGACCACCGCGTTCCGGTTCATCGTGGGCACCGGTTTACGTCACCTATGGGGCGAACAATCGGACGCAGATGATTCGTATTCCTGCACCGGGACGGATCGAGAACCGATTAGGCGATGGAGCGTCGAATCCTTACCTCGCGGCGACAGTTCTGCTTGCCGCCGGTTTGGATGGCATCGAAAATCAGATCGATCCGGGAGCACAGAACGAGGATAACCTTTATGAGGTGCCGGAGGACGAATTGCAACAGCGGGGTATCGGTTCTCTACCTGCGACGCTCGGCGAAGCGGCAGATGCCCTCGAAAAAGATGAAGTCATCAAGAATGCGCTCGGAATGGAGTATGCCGAATATTACATTCAGGTTAAACGCCAAGAATGGCGGAACTACCATCTGAGCGTCAGCCAATGGGAGCTTGATAACTATCTGGAAGTTTATTAATATGAGAGTCATCAATGCAGCAACCGCACAGTCCCAAACCCAGTCGTGACTTAACCGAAAACCTCCCTGAAACAGAGTAGAAGGCAGTCGCAGGAGCCCATAAATTAAAAAATGAAAATCTTATTCAGACTGCTCGGCTTTGCCCTTGTATATCTGTCAGCCGTTTACATAGTTAGTTGTGGACAGCGTGAAGATGAGGAGGAGATTAAGGCGGTAGGATTGGTGAGTGCAGAGCCAGCAGACGGGAGTACTATCGACGTAAACGGAATTATTACTGTTATTTTTGACGATATTCCCGGAAACGTGTCAGTGAATGTAGGTATTGTTAAAAGAGCAGGAACAACGATTACAATCGCAGGTCCGTTTAGTCCGGGGACACTCACACTGACTATTACCTGGGAGGATGGAGCGCATACACTTGCCTACACCGTCGAAACACCTAAACAGGGGACGACTGAACCGATCCTTGACGTTGAACAGGAACCGATCCTTGAATCCGATCCCATTATTCCAGACGGGATGGTCCTGATTCCGGAAGGCGAGTTTAAGATGGGTAGCAACGATGGCGGTGCCGACAACGACGAACAACCGGTGCACACCGTTCACCTCGATGCGTTCTATATAGATGCAAACGAGGTAACCAACGGAGAATTTAAGGATTTCGTTCTCGCGAATCCAGGATGGCAAAAAGATCGCATTGATGCGAGGTTTCATGACGGCAGCTACCTGAAAGATTGGAATGGAAATAACTATCCTCTCGGAGAAGGTGATCATCCCGTCCGCTATGTGAGTTGGTATACAGCAATGGCTTACGCGGTGTGGGTAGATAAACGTTTACCGACAGAAGCGGAATGGGAGAAAGCAGCACGCGGTGGATTAGATAAAAAACAGTATCCGTGGGGCAATGGCATCAATTTCAACAGAGCAAACTACGGCAAGCATATTGGCGAGACAACCCCTGTCGGCGATTACCCTCCGAACGACTACGGTGTATATGATATTGCGGGAAACGTGTGGGAATGGTGCCTTGACGGATACGAGGTAGATTTCTACGCCAACTCTCCACGTCGAAATCCTACCGCAGGCGCGAATCATGTCGAAGAGATCGTCAACGATTTCGAGAACATTGTAGATTTTCGCGTATTGCGGGGAGGCGGGTGGAACAGCGAACCTGAGTGGCTGCGGGCGGCGAACCGTCACGGGACGAGTCCAGCGTACGCTGGCATCGGTGCTCTCGGATTCCGTTGCGCGAAACCCGTATCGCCTTAACACGTTCTATTTAACCTGATCCTCGGCACCAAATTTTGTGTATTGAGACAAAAACGAAAATCTGTTAGAATGGAATCCAAGTAGAAAAGAACCTGAGTTATTTTCTGCTTTTTGTATTTTGTACAACGTTAAGCTATTCTCACTTTTCAACGAAGGAGACCCAATGAAAATCTTTTCAATAATCACGCTCTGTTTGCTCATCTGTGCGGCATTTTCGCACGCTGACTTAATGGAGGGGCTTGTTCTATACATGCCTCTTGATGAAGGTTCTGGAACCGCAACGCAAGACCTATCCGCAAACGGTTTTGAAGGTGAAGTGATGGGCGGTGCGACATGGATTGACGGACAGTTCGGGAAGGCACTCCAATTTGCGGCTGCCGCAGATCATGTCGTCGTTGAAGACGATACCGCCTTTCATATTGAAGGCGCGATCACACAAGCCGCCTGGGTGCAGTTGGACAAACTGCCAAGCGCACACGCCATCATCTGCGGCACTCGGGCGAGTGGTGCAACTCGGCATATCGGTTTCGGTTTCGGTATGAATCCAGCGAACGGTATCAAAATCTGGACCAACGGTGCAGCCGGTGGATTCAAGGACATCAACGATAACGAAACAGCATTAGAGACAGGCAAATGGTATTATCTCGCCTATACCCATACAGACGATAGCAACGGCTTAGTAGAGATCTACTTGGATGGCGAGGTAACGCACTCGGAGGAATCGGGAAATCCTGTTGCTCCTGCTGCAAATACGAGTGCGGTGACTATCGGCACTTGGGGCGGTGAAGCGTGGACAGGGAGCGTTGATGAGGTTCGGCTCTGGAATCGCGCCCTCTCAGCAGACGAGATTAAAGCGAGCATGAACCAAGACGCCGAATCATTCCTGACCCCGGTAGAGCCTCAAGGCAAACTCGCCACGTCCTGGGCGAACATTAAGTCGAACAGGTAATCTGTATCAGAAGTCCTATCTCAGGTGCCATCGTTCTCGGTAAGGACAACGAAGCAGATATTCAATACCTCAATGGATTTATCGACGAGTTTGCGTTCTATACGCGCGCTTTGAGTAAGACTGAGTATTAATCGAAAGTTTATGGGGCAGGTTTCAGAACTTGCCCCTTAAACACACCTGTTTCAGATACAGACGATGAAAACTCTCCAATCGTCACCAAGTTTTTAACCACTCTTGATAAAAACAGAAACGCAATTAGAATCATACTTTATCCGAACCGACAGACGAAGTGATAGCGTCTATGGCTGCGCTGGAGGGGGATATCCTTATCCTCGGCGTTGGTGGGAAGATGGGACCGACGCTCGCCAAACAGGCGAAACGTGCCATTGATCTCGCGGGGATAACCAAAAAAGTTATCGGTGTGTCCCGTTTTCTCGACACCGGGTGTGCGAGAAGATTTACACGAAGCCGGTATTGAAACGATTGCCGCGGATTTGCTGTCGGAAGACTGCTTGCAAAATCTACCGGACATCCCAAATGTAATCTTGATGGCAGGTAGGAAGTTCGGTTCCACGGATAATGAGAGTCTAACTTGGGCGATGAATAGTTACATGCCGGGACGTGTGGCAGATAAGTATAGAGATTCCCAGTTAGTCATCTTCTCGACAGGGAACGTTTATCCGCTGACCCCAGTCTCCCATGGTGGTGCGACAGAATGTTTACCGCCTGCCCCAATCGGCGAATACGCGCAATCGTGCCTGAGTCGTGAGCGGATATGTGCCTACTTTTCATCGCGATTCGGTACACCTATGGCGATTTTGCGCTTAAATTACGCGATCGACCTCCGCTACGGGATACTGCTGGATATCGCCGAAAAAGTTTACGCGGAGGAATCAATTTCCCTTGAGATGGGCAATGTGAACGTAATATGGCAAGCGGATGCCAATGCTGTGGCTTTGCGGGTTTTCGCACACTGCCAAAGTCCACCGCTGACCCTCAATGTTACGGGACCGGAGACTATTTCTGTCCGATACCTTGCATTACGTTTCGGTGCACTTTTCAACAAACCACCACAGTTCGAGGGTGAAGAGGCAGAAACGGCACTGCTAAGTAATGCCTCTCAGTGTCACCGACTGTTTGGATACCCGCGTGTCTCTTTGGAGCAGATGATCGAGTGGATAGCAGAATGGGTTCGGATAGGCGGCACGACACTCCGTAAACCAACCCATTTCGAGGTGCGCGATGGAAAATTCTAACCTTTTGTTCAACATTGTAAAAACAACATAGACAAAAAATGCGAATTTTGTTAGCATATCAGAGCAGTGTTTTTGTGACATTTGCACTTTTAATCGGTAGTGCTTTGTGCCAACCGCACCCACCGGTGACTATTGCCTTTGCTTCGGACGTGAGCGGTGATTGGGAAATCTACCTGACAGATACAACCGGCAAACGCCCGGTGAATCTTACACACAATCCGGCTGCGGATTATTATCCGACGTGGGCACCTGATGGAGCTCAGATCGCTTTCTTCTCTCGGCGCGATGGGAATCATGAAATTTATGTGATGCAGGCTGATGGAACCAATCAGCGACGCTTAACACATCACCCGGCGACAGATAAGGCTCCTGCATGGGCACCCGATGGTAAGCGTCTTGCTTTCACGTCAAATCGCGATGGGCATTTCAACATTTACCTGCTCCATCTCGATAACGGCGAGGTGACCCACCTCACCGATAATCCATTTCAAGATGAAGTCCCTTCGTGGGCACCCGATGGAAATACCTTAGTTTTCCACTCAAAACGGGAACTTAACTGGGATATTTACGTGATTGATGTAGACAGTCGGGTGGAACAGCGGTTGACACATCAACCACTGATGGACATCTATCCGGCTTGGTCACCTGACGGCACACAGATTGTATATGCCGCCATGCACCGAGAGGTAGAACTCGCCGATTTCGACTTGTACATTATGGATGCCATTGATGGTGGGAACAAACAAGCACTCACCGACACGCCAACTGATGAAGCAGTTCCTGCTTGGTCCCCTAATGGCAAAACACTTGCTTTTCAATTTGAGAAGGACGGCAGATGGGTTATCCACCTGATGCATGCCGATGGGAGTGAACGGCGTGAATTGATTGACAACGGGGCATGGGCAGCACAACCGAAATGGTTCAGCAACTCGGATGTCCTGCCTATAGAACCGTCAACATTACAGATTCAGCAATGGGGCAAAATTCGAGTCCCATAGTAAAATAGCTGTCGGTTTCCATCAGCAGTCAGCAAGAGCACCTCTTTACCGACTATTGACAGCCGATAGCCCTTAAAAAAGGAGATATTTTTATGCGTTTCAAAACGTTAGTATTAGGCATGTTCTTTATGTTTGGTTTACTGCTAACAAGTGGTATCAGTTACGGCTATGAGCGCGCAATTGAAGCAGAAATGGCAGATGTAATCGAAGCACCGATGGTAGTCGCCGACGATGCAAATGCCTCCGAGGGGCAATTCGTGTGGGTGGAGGGTCTCCCTGTCACCGGTGGTGGTGACGAAGGTTGGGTAGAATATAACCTGTATATCCCTGCCGCTGGCACCTATGCACTCTGGGGCAAAGTCATCGCATGGGATGGCAATAGCGACTCCTACTGGGTAACTTGGCAACCCGCCGATCCAGACGAAAATGCACAAGAAACCGGTAATACAGAGTTTCGCTGGGGCGTTGCTCAAGGTAACGATTGGCACTGGGATCGGATTAATCACTGGCTGGACGGTGGCACGTTTGAACGGGAATGGGAATTAGACGCCGGTGAGACGACGCTTCGTATCGCAGTCCGTGAAGATGCCACCATGTTGGATGTGATTTATATCACCGACAATCTTTCTGAGGACGAAGCGGAAGTCAGCCCGCGCGATCCGATTCCAGAAGATTCCTTAACGCCTGTCGAACCCCAAGATAAACTCACTACAACCTGGGGCAGACTCAAAGCCGATAGATAATTATTAACGCGGGTGGATTAATCATTCGCCCGCGTATTTTAGAGAATCGAAAGGAGGTCTGTAATGAAGGACAGCACAATTTTATTGCTCGTTATATTGACAGTATTCATATACGGAACACTGCAGCTTCGCGCGGAGGTCGAGATCGTACTTGAAGCAGAACTCGCAAATGAAATTGTAGATCCGATGATTGTTACAGAAGATGAAAACGCATCCGATGGAAAATTCATCTGGATGGAGGGAGCACCCGTCACCGGTGGCGGCGATAGAGGGCACGCCGACTTTATCATTAACATCCCGGAGGCAGGCGATTACGCTCTCTGGGCACACGTTATTGCATGGGATGGCAATAGCGACTCCTTCTGGGTAACTTGGCAACCCGCCGACCCAGACGAAAATGCACAGCAAACCGGTAATACGGAGTTTCGCTGGGGTGTCGCACAAGGTGCCGCTTGGCACTGGGACCGTATTAATCACTGGTTAGATGGTGGCACGTTTGAACGGGAATGGGAATTAGCGGCGGGTGAGTCGCTTCTACGTATCGCAGTCCGAGAAGATGCGACTATGATTGATGCAATCTTCGTGACGACCAATACAGGTGCTACGGTTCCAGACCAAGCAGACGTTCGTCTGCCAACCGATAAAGATAGGAAACTACAAATTGAGGGTCTCGCTGTAAGTGCAAAGGGAAAAGCCGCAACCACCTGGGGGACCCTAAAACGGGCGTATCAGTGATAGACCCCCGAATGCATTCAGGGGCTTCCGCAATCTTACGCGGAAGCACTTGTGGTATCAACAAGGGGTGCTTTCTTGCGAAAGTCTGACCCCCTCTCCTCCAAGGGTTGCTACCCCAACCCCGCACGAAATGTGCCTTATCGTTTTGATGAGCGTCTCTAAAAAAGAGAAAAAACGGAATTCGCCATGACGCGTCTTTTCCTACACTCAAAGCGTTGCTACAGTATCCGCCATCTGGTGTCTTGCGACTTCTGCCTCTGCGTAAGGAGATTCTAACATTTTTCACAAACTTTGTCAAGGGATCGGCACAGGCACAGGGTACAGTTTCGATAAACAGGTTGTTGCGAAACAGATAGCACTGCTCTCCGTAATAGTTGATGCGCCATCGGTCAAAGCCACGTTCAAACTGGATAACACGATCAGGCGGGCCGAGGTGAAGTTGCAACTTCTCTGCTGCCCGCTTGTCGCGCGTAACAAGCGCGTATGTCACATACGCTAAACCCGAAAGAATCCCACCTAAAGCTACTTTTCCTCTTAATTTGACTGAAATACTCTCCGCAGTCGGTGTTAATCCCCAAATTAGGCACACAATAAGAACAAACGCACAGATTTTTTTTCCTTTTAGAGAGAAAATATGACATAAATTTAACATTTGTGTGTCCTTTTGAATATATTAGGGCTTGACAAAGAAATACTTTGGGGGTATCCTAATTGGAACGAATAAAAAAGAATCGCCACTTAGGGTGCAGATTGCAAACCCATATTGAGAAACGGACGGATGCTTGCATATCTCCGATATGCTAAAGTGGGCAGAATCTGCTGGCTTTCCATTTTGTATATTTTGTATAGAAGAGTGCCACCTGATTAGCGATCTACTTGGAGCGTGTAAAAAAAATGACTGTCATGCATTCTAAGGGAGAGACTCCCGACACAGCAGATGCACCGAATTGTACGACAGAACTGAGCCTTGAGGACGTTAAACAGGAATTGTATAGCCGTCACCATCCGAGTTTAATGTTTCTTGATATAGAAGCCCATGCAAAGACCGTTCATAAGATACGGACCCTGAAACAGAAACACAACGTTGTGATGCTCGGTCACAACTATATGGAGCCACTGGTTTTTGGACTTTCTGAAAAAGAGGAACAGGGGGATTCGCTCGGGCTGAGCATGTACGCCTCAAAAACAGAAGCACCCTATCTAATCTTTAACGGCGTGCCGTTCATGGCAGAAACAGCGAAAATCTTAAATCCGAGCAAAACGGTGCTGGTCGCAGATAAAACAGCAGGATGCTCGCTCGCTGATAACTACGGTGCCGAAGATGTCAAGGAGTTGAAAGCCCTTTACCCCGGTGTACCGGTGATGATTTACGTTAATAGCTACGCCGACGCAAAAGCAGAATCGGATATCTGCTGCACGTCGGCAAATGCCGCACACATCGCGAAAATGATGCCAGGGGATACAATAATCTTTGTGCCCGATATCCTCTTTGCACAGAATTTGGAGGAAGAATTGAAGGACGAGAAAAAAGTCGTCTACCCCGGCAAAGACAACACAGCACGTGGTGCAATCTGTGAAGTTCATGAAAAATTCACACTTGATGACCTCCTCGGAATCCGTGAATCTTTTGAAATTCCGAAAGGGCATCCCTGCCGCAAACTGTACGCGCACTGGGAATGTCGTCCCAATGTCTTAAAAGAGGCAGATTTTTACGGCAGTACCAGTCAGATTATGAAGGATATAGCGGAACGTGTTGCAGCGAACCAACTTGAGCGCGCATTTGTTGCTTCGGAGTGTGAATTAACCTCAAATCTGGCACAGGAGTTTCCAGAAGTTCAGTTCTGGACAGCCTGCTCGGTCCGATGCTCACACATGGCACAGGTGAGCTTGGGTAAAATAGCAAAGATTCTGGAAGCGATCGACCAGAATGCGGACCTCGGTGAATACGAAATTACACTGAGTCCTGAAGTTATTGATAAGGCGCGTACGCCGATTGAGCGAATGCTTGAAGCAAGTGTGTAGCCATCAGCAAAGAAGCCGTCAGCATATTGGCTGTCGGAAACTTTCAGCAAGCGGAAACCTTCAGTAAAGAGGTTTTCTTGCTGATCTCTGATCGCTGACGGCTGATAGCCATTAAAACCGAGTGATGAAAGAGACGCGATGCGCATTGCCGACATACGCGTCCGGTACGAAAGCGTAGTCGAACTGGAAGTCAATGTTCGCTAACGCATCTTCACCGCTGCGTCGCACACCAATACCGAGTGCTAACCCGTCGCTGGGATTCTCGTTCATTCCGATTCGGTATCCGATGCGCGCAGCGACGCTCTCATAAAACCACCGTTCTGCCCCGATGTGAAAACTCGGATTTGCATCAATGAGCGGAAGGTTTGCGTCTGCGACGAACGCCCACACCTCATGTGGAGGCATTGCTTCCTCTGCTTCTGCCGCGGGTTGTTTCCAAGTTCTATAAGCCAGTCCTGCGCGGAGTGCCATCGGCAGATTTTCCCCACCATCTAAGACCCCAGCATTTTGGACAACAACCCCGATTCCGAGGTGATTGTCAAGCAACCGCAAGATCACACCGACATCCGCTGCAACACCATAGGCATTCTGAATGTCCAATTGTTGTGAAATTATCTTTGCCGTACCACCGACTGACACCGCTGTGCCAAGCGGGTAGGCGAGAGACAACCCCGTAGCGAAGCCTCCGACTGTCACAGTACTATCCGGGTCTTCCGTTGGTCCTTGTCGGCGTTCAATTTCAGTGAAACTTCCGAGGAAGCTTGCTCCCCAGACGAGCCGGTCTATCCGCTGTGCGTATCCGATGGTTTGATTGTTAATGTCCGCAAATGAGAAGTGTTGCATTGCGGTCAGTTCTTGATCGTGGACAGCGGTTAGCCCTGCCGGATTCCAAAAGATAGTGTTAACGTCATTCGCAAGTCCAGCGAAGGCACCCCCCATTCCAACGGGCCGACTTCCACCTTCAATTTTTAGGAAAGCGGCACCGGCTGTTCCGGCTCCATCGTGGATACTAACGGCGTGTGCGCTTGGGGCGGCCGCGGTTATTATGAGAAGCACTATTGCGATTTTTTTAATTATGGGCATCTGCTCATCGTTCCACTTCGTTCCACGATGGTGTTTGGTGAATAGCAACGCAACTAAGGACCTGTGCCGTTTTAAGATCGTTATCATAAATTCTCCTTTTTCTAACTATAGTCCTCTGCTCATCGTTCCTTTTATTATGTTAGTCAACGACCAGCACTTTGCCGACAACGTTCGCGTGATTTCCTGCTGAATTGACGGCTTCCAATCGGAAGACATAGATTCCTCGTGCGACAGAGGCACCCGCTTGATTCTCCAAATTCCATTTCACCAATTGATCATTGCGCTGCCCTGATACAACATCGGGATACGTTTCAGAGAGGACCATGTCACCACTCCAATCGTAGATACTCAGTGTGAGTTCAATCGTCTCTCCACGTGGCACATTGACATCAAAGGAGAAGAAGGCAACATCCCGTTTTGAAAGTCGGAGTGGGTTTGGCCATCCAAAGGTCGTGCCCCGGAAGGTGAGAGACACAGACATAGTATACTCGCCAATGTCGTAAATCTCGTAGTTACCCGCATTGTCAGTGACCCGGACATCTAAGTCGTATTCACCGGAACGTGTTGGCAGGAAGTCAATGGACCAGACGCTCCAAGGTTCCTGCTCTGCATTGCTATCATCAACAGTAGCAACAGGATCTATGGGTTGTTTGTCGGGTCCAGTGCCACAATCTCAACGAGCCACACGCCAGACGCTGGGACTGGAATTTCGCCGTCACCGCTCCGCTGCGTGCCACTTGGGTCGGAGGCTGTGCCTTCTAATGGCAATGCCTTATCGGTGAGTTCGGTTTCACCACCATCACTCGTTATAGCGGCAGTCGGCACGGTCGTTTCATACAAAAATTCGGTGGTCAGCGAATCCGTTGGTGCGAATCCGAGGAGTTCGGAGTCATTTCCAATACTCATAACCGTGACTTTATAAACACCTTGGATCGTAAGTCCATTGGATTTGAAAATGAGGGTGTCCACGCCGTTCTGCTGCGTACTACCAGAAACCTCTGATCCATCCGGGCTTGTCACAATAATCTTCGATTGCGCCAAGTTGACCCCTAAGCCTGTGTCAAAGATATTTGCTTGGATGACAGCACCGCCGGTTGTCGAAACCGCGGTTGGATAATTTTCCGCATTGATGTCAACAAGGAGTGGTGCGTCATTGATAAGTAACGTGCTCGGGTCAATCATCGGCGGACTGGTATCGTAGATAAAGACCCTTTCATAAGGTTCATCGTCGTTACCTGCCCGGTCTTTAGGGTTAAGGGTGATTCGATATTCACCATCTGCGGAACCATTGTCTGCAAGTGGGACAGTCAGCCGGAAAGTGAGGTTGTCTTGTCCATCGTCAGATATTCGTCCCGAAATCTTGGTTGGATTCGGTGAGAGGCGTTCAAAGGTCAACCATTTCTCATCAAGGTTTTTCCAATCAATTCCGGACGTTTCATCGGTAAGATTGACATGAATCTCTGTCAGAGAATTATTAACCTCAGGTTCTGCAACAACGAGGCTAATCGCTTCATCAGGCTCAATTTCGGGTGCCTGTGTGTCGTAGGTGAAGGTTAATCGTTGAACTTCACCGCTCCGTCCAGAAGCACTGATTGGCGTAAACTCAATAGTATAAACACCATCTTCGGACCCGTCGGTAGCGAGTGGACGAACGAGATTATAGATTAACCGATCATTTGCCCGCTGCAGTTGTCCCACGACAACCTGAGTGCCGGGATTTAGTAAACGAAGTGTCGACAGGTGATTTTCGTCATCCGTTTCAAGCGTTACTTCTATCCGTTCAAGTTCTTCATTCATAAACGCTTCATCCGCTGGTGCTGTAATTGGTTCTGTTGAAACGATGGCAGGTAAGTGCCTTGACAAGAGAAAACTCCGTTCAAAGACGACAGCGTCTCCATTACCTGCACGGTCAACGGCTTGCACACGGATGATGTATCGACCGTCCGCAACAAGTTGATTCGTTGTAAGGGTTAACGCCGTTTCGCCGTCACTGACGAGTTCACCGGATATTTCGGTGCCATTCGGGTCAACCAACGTCACCGTAGTTACTGCCCAGTCGATACCACTACCACCTTCATCATTGAGGGTTACCTGTGTCTGTGTAACATCCTCTGTAAGTAAGGCACCATCAGCTGGCACGTACTCACCAATGTGGGTGCTTGGGTATCATAGACGATCAAGTGTTCGACCGTGTAGGAGTTTCCCGCCTTATCTGCCAACTCAATAAGGACGTGTATTCCCCATCCATACTGCCATCGAGCGGTAAGGGTTGGTCCAAAGTGAGAAAGAGCTGGTTTTCAGTATCGTTAGTGAGTTGTGTCGGGACCAAACCACCACTCGCATCGCTAAGGGTAACTTTCTGATCCGACAACTCGAGGTCTGCGGGACCGATATCAGCGATCGTGAAGCTGAGTTGTGTTAAACTCTGACTGATATAGGAAACGGGTTGACTTAAGTTGATAGGTTCAGCGGCTTGTATCTCTGGGTCCTGTGTATCATAAATAAACTCACGATATACCGTGCTTCCCTGCCGACCGGCTTTATCAACGGGTGTGATGTACACTCTGTATCTTCCATCGGTGGTTCCATCGATGTAAGGGTTCTCGGCTCCCAAACGATCAGGTCTTCCCCATTGGAACCTGTTGCCCCTGGAACGACTGTGGTTCCATCAGATCCACCACAGTGATGTATCCGATCCTTCACTCCCAAAGGATAACCCTGTCTCCGTCGGATCAAGGAGGAACGCTCCAATAATCATATTGCTTGCGTTGACATAAACAACATCACTACCCACCTCTGTTTCTATTCCGCCAATAACAACAGAACTGACACGCGGCAGTGGTATCTCCAAAGTGAATCTATAATCAACAGCACCTGCTGCAGCATTGCCCGCTACATCTTGCGGTGTGACAGACAGCGTATACGAACCGATCTGTTCCAA